AGGCCTGCTTTAAAGTACATACGAGAGTTTCGCAAGAAAGCTGGTCGGATAGAGAGGTGGCCTGAGCAGTCCCTAGTCTAATCACTTCAAAGAAGGATTAGACGATCACCTCTCTCAGGCCTGCATCTATCGAGCAGTACCTGATCAGCTCCAGGAATGGTACCAGACAGCGGTAAGGCTAGCTTGCCCGCTATAGGAAGCCTCCCCCACCTGAAGCCGAGTTGAGGCCAGACCAACCGAAGCGGCAACCTCCCCCCAAAAACCTCCAACTGCTGCGGCTGCTGAAAGTCCCGGGCCACCTGCAGGCCTGCCGATCAAGTGCTTCCGATGCGGACAGCAGGGACATCGAGCACCGAATTGCCCAGTCCCCTACTCCCAACAGCAAAACAGACCGGGACCAGCAACGAGAAAGAAACCTGCCCAGCAGCCAACGAGAGAGAAATCCAACTGGATCATACAGGAACCTGTTGCCCAAGTCACATCCCCCACACAGGAGGATGCTGGGACTTAGGCTGGATCCGTCCCCGCTCTACTCTCTTTCAACAGCGATGGTGAGTCGACACATCCCACCTTTCTCTCTACCTGCCAAACTCGTAATCCCTAAGACGGGGGCACAGGTAGATTTAAAAGTGCTAGTCGATTCTCAATGCTCCCGGTGCATCATTAGCTTGCCATTTGCCATGAAAATGGGCATACGAGCAAAACTGCTCTCCAAACCCCTGAGATTTGAGCAAGCCGATGGCTCCCTGATGGGAGGGACTTTAGTCACGCAATTAACTGAGCCTCTACGCTTAGAAATAGGTGAGCACTGGGAGTTCATTCGCTTCCTGGTGACTCCAAAAACGACTGAGGCTGTGATCCTAGGATTAGCCTGGCTGGACAAATGGAAGCCGTTTATCTGGTGGGAGAAGGGAATGAGGACTGTGAGACTACCTATAGGGCCCAAGCCCCCCATTTATTCAACAAACGTTACAGGAAACTTTAACCCACCCAACGAGCGAGCGCACATGGCAGCCTCACCACCACCAGGTGAGCCACTCATCCCCAGCGAGTAACGGGACCTAGTGGAGGCATTTAGTGAGAAGGAATGCGACACTCTGCCTCCCCACCAACCCAATGATTGCTCCATCGAACTGTTGCCAGGAGCCAAACTCCCACGACTGAGAATGTACGCTATGTCCCTCCTCGAAATGGAGGAGATGCAGTAATACGTGGATAAAAACCTAGAGAGGGGGTTCATTGAACGGGCCAAGTCTGCTGTGGGAGCCCGTGTTGTTTAAAGAAAAAAAAAGATGGGTCTCTTCATCTGTGCATGGATTATAAGGGTCTGAATGCTGTGAGTGTGAAAAACAAATACCCTCTCCCCCTACTAAAGGACTTTAATCGTTTTAACTTCACTCTAAAGTACATTCCGGAAAGAAAAAACTTACTAGCTGATGCTCTAATCAGATTGCCCCAGTACAAAAACCAGCGCGAAGAGATTAACAAGGCAATTATCTCCAATCCACAAACTGCTGCTCAACTCATGCCTCGTAGGGCCCCTAATCCTGATGACCCTGGGGCAAAGAAAATAAAACAAGAGCTCCTCACCAATCAATGGTTCAAGGACAATCAAACCTCCCTAACATGCAGGCTTACAAGGGGGGGAAATTGTACTTGCCAGAAGCCCTCCTTCTTAACGCTCTCAAACACAGCCATGACGTAAAACAGGCTGGACGCTGGTTATTTAAAAACTCTACATCTCATCCGCCGGCAGTTCTGGTGGCCGGAGTTAAAACGGGATGTGGAAAATTATGTCAGGAGTTGTACTGTATATGCTACCATGAAAAGAATTCAAGGAAGACACCCTGGGTTACTGCAGCCAGTGGCAGACCCTTCTCAACCATGGACTTTGGACTTTATAGTAGACCTCCCTGAAAGTAGAGGACATACAGTCATCTGGACTATGATAGACCTGTTTTCAAAGCAGGCCCACTTCATCGCCTGCCGTCTGTCCAACTACTGACTAAACTGTTCTTGAAACATATCTGCCGGCTGCATGGAGCCCCTAAATGAATAATTTCGGACAGAAGGGTGCAGTTCACAGCTAAGTTTTGGAGGAGCTTTCATAAATTAATTGGATCATCTCAAGGTCTATCATCTGCTTTTCACCCGTCTAGTAATGGGACTGCGGAAGCCGCCAACAAGATGGTGGAGCAATGGACTTCCGGTGGCAGGCGATTTCGTCGGTCGCAGCTGTTTGCTGCCTCCCGCCTGTTTTGCGTAAAAGCCGGTTTGACAGCTAGCATCTGCTGTCAAACGGCTTGATACCTTTCCCCTGGGCATAAGGGGATAGGTGAGCTGCCCGGGGTAGGAGTTGAGTTCCCGAGTCGTCCTATATGGACGATGTAGGCGAGA